ACAGCTGACTTCATACTGCGAAAATGGCAGAGTGATTGTCAAAACAATACACATTAAGTTTGTTTTCTATTTAAAAACGTTATTAAAGTTTACTTAAATAAGACATCTACCGAACAATAACACGCAACATGATATCAAATTCTTTTTATTAATATCATTAGCTTGTCAGTTTAATTAAAAGTTTCTTAAACTTCGTCAGACATTTTCAAAAGAAGTATGTTTAAATCAAAATATCTAATATCTATCACTGACTATTACATGAATTTATTTGATGAGACTTAATAAAGAAATCTTGTTTTCGTCTATAGATGAAACATGCCATAAAAAAGAAGTGCAATGCTTTTGAGGTTAGTTTCAATGGAAAATAGATCGTCTAGTATTTCATTGTAACAAGAGTGATATCATACAGCAGCAAAAGTAAAAATATTTTAAAGAAATATAATATATTCAAATTCACATCAGAAGCATTGTACAAGTTGTTCAAACTAGTTGAACTACAGTTTATATGAGAAAATATATCGATGATTCATGCAGATGAAACATTATTCTTCATTTTCCAACGTATTCCTAAACTCTATTCAGAGATCAATATAGTATAGAATGGTTAAGTCATCTTGCATACAGTCCCGCCCCACGTAGCAAAATAAAGGCAGCTAACTGTATAGTATATGAACAAGTTTTCTACTCTACATTTATTGCTGATTGACACGTTTTTATAGTGCATGATTGTTAAAATCATCTAATCCGTAAGACTATATCAATGCAATTGTTTCGAAATGAATGAAATTCAATATAAACTAATATGCTTTGGAATATATTTAGACTATTTTCTATTTCATGTAAAACATTATTTTCTAAAAAAAAATAAATTTGAAAATAATATAGAAAAAAATTATTTTTTAATCGGAACATTTTCAATTTCATTTTTTTTGACGGTCTTCAAAGCAATTACATTATTTGAAATTATTAATAAACATTTTCTTAACATAAATTTTAACGACATCAAGTTAGCTGCTATTTTGATCTGTACAATCATGCTCATGTTTTTGTTAAAAATGCATTCCTATGTCAAAAGATGTTATAAAATGATCGCCCTTATTAAAACTGTGTTAGAGTGAATACAGTTAAACATTTTCGTTTATGATAGATTCAAATAAAGTTATATGAAATGATCATTATTAAATATTTCGTGTATTCCTTTCATAATGCGTAGGTCTTCAGTATCGTGCAGTTCTGTTTTATATAGAATCAAAGAAAAAAGCTGATTCAATAATATTCAACCAAAACTCATTCATTCATTCTATTGTAACTAAACTACAAATTCTATAAATAAATGAGATAATATTTTACTATTGAATATATTGATAAAAAAAATGAGACTAACCATATTTAGCGAATTATGTATATGATCTGGTAAAATTCAAAATTGATCAACATTCTCAGGATTACGATTGCATTTATAGCATATCACTGATAATGAATTTGTAGGTGTTGCAGAAAGTTTAATGATGAATTAACATTATGTAAGAGAATATTTCGATGAATATTTCGCATAATTTCTAAAATTGGACGAATCATGAAATTAATTTGAAATTGAGCTTCTGTAATTGATTGCCATTCAGTATTTTTACGGTATGGCTCTTTCTCACAAAGAAAATCACGAAAACGTTGCGATTCAGTCACTGACCTTGACTAACTTCGTTCGAATTTCTTCCTTTCATTCACATTAAACTTAAATGAGTTTTCTATTGCAACCAAATATCGAAATGCTACACTATCGAAACAAAATGTATTCCTTTTCTCAAACAGAATTCTCTTCATAGGAAATGATTCGAAGAATGTTTTTAATAAGGGACCTATATTTACTAGAGTATAGAATGTTGCACGAGCATTAGTAAAACAGAATATCAAATAATCACGAATATTTTCACCAAAATAATAAAATAATTGAGTACAACAAGATTTTAACTAAGAATTTAATTGTACAACTTCAGATTGTCATTTAATTCAATACTTATATTAATAACAATTCTATAAATTAAGACTAACGACATATGAAACTGAAAAAGAAAGAGCAAATAGTAACAATGCAAACATGAAGTAGTGCTCCCGAAAAAAAAAATTCTGTTCGAAATTCAGAAGTAAACAATACAGATTCTCACGCTGAGGGTCGATTATCTTGGAAAGCAACTACACTCTACGTGAGATTTTTTAATTTACTTATTCTGTATTAGGTTAATTAAGCTCAAGGATATATGTAAATTCCATATTTCAGCTTCAAAGGGATGTATTTACAAGATTTTCAATAGAAAAAAATATATTAATCATTGATGATGAATTATTTCGTTTATTAACTCTTTTCAAAGGACTAAAGTATTAAACTTTTTAAACAAAGATACAAATAAGTAACAATGAACATTGGAATAAATCAGTTGAAGAATTGTTTTCGTCTTCTTATTCGTATTCATTAATGTAATATTCATGCTAGGAAACATTCACAATTATTAAATAGAACTCAACTATTAACACATAAACTTGCTTGATCTTTAGCTGAAATGGCTACACTTATTTAAGAAAATATTTTAATAATCAAACAATAGAAAACAAAGACTATTCAATCATTAAACAAATCATGGTTCACAAAAAGAATGAAAGAAAGTCCAGGACAAGCAGCTACGAACAATGAACAATTTTTAATTTACCAACAAGTTTCAATTCTCTGCATATTTTTAATCAACTAAAAAAGATTGTTAATCGTAAAAAAATAAAGAGAAAACCTTTATTAAATATATCACTCTTTCCTTTCAAGTTTATTGAACATGATTGTCGTTTTCTGCAAAGATTTATTTAATTGAAACAAGATTGATCAAAAAATGAAGAAATCAGTCATGTTTTGCTACCATTTTTAAAACTAATGGATAAAAATGAAACATAATTCTTCTTGTTTTTTTTTTTATTTAATCTGTGTTGATCTTACACATTGCAGGTTTCTTTTACATTATCCATATTCTCTTGTTTGATTTTATTCATAGCCAACCCACTTAGTTAGACAAGTAATAAAAAGGACACCCATTTTACACGTAGTAAAACACAAATTATAGTTTGTTAAAATTTCGGTTGTGAGAAAAAAACTAAATTGGTAAAATTTACTATTCCCAAATTTTATTCAGCTTGTTACAATGTGTGCCCTTGACGCATAAATGCATCAACTTTTTTATTACTGGTCTCAGTGAATGCTTGAAAAAAAAATGTCGAAATTTTCATAAAGATTACCATATAAAAATAAAACATTCTTTTTTTTTGTTTACTTTTACTGAAGTAATAAAAATAGAATTTTTTTTCTCATTTACAAGAGAAATATTCAGAGTGTCCAACTTTGTTATTATTCATTCGATAGATTACATTAAGGTAAGAAAAAAGGTTCGAGTCCATGGTTTACTGGAGAAGAATCATAGCCGTTTTATTGAAATTTTTATCCACGCTCACTTATATACGAAAAAAGCAAAATGAAGAGTTTCGTCCTGAAATCGTCTCCTATAAATAAGTTTAATAGTTATTAGATAAAGTTCAAAGTATACTCCATTTTTGTATCCTCCTATGATAAATCGTTGTTTTTGTTTTAAGTTTAATATCTGGAGAAAGATATCGACGTTTTGATTGAAATTCTCAGTGCTATCTAATGATTATAATAAAAGAAGTACTAATTGCACTTTATATTTCTTCAATGTATTACCGCTCGTCGTCTGATATTGTCAGAGAAAAAAAAATGTCATTGCAACTGATATGCCCATATTTTATGAAAGTAACGAGAACTTTTGTTTCTGTATTGAAATACATACCGCACTTCATACTTCATAGAAAAAGCTACATACTAAATTAATCTATGTTTTTTGAAAAGAATTCTCTACTTGTCGGTACACTCAGGCAACAGTTCATATGATTTTCGAAAGGTACGAAAAATTCTAAGATAAACTACTGTTTGATAAGCATGCAACCAAGAAAACTTCGAAAATGCTGAACAAAGTCTTGACCTCAACAATGATGATTCTCATATTACTTCCTATGCATCTCAAGTTTCAACTGGTCTATTGGATGTATGTGAAAAATTTGAACAAGCAACATATTGATTCTAGAATGCAATGATAGCTAATGACTTCTAGGTTTATCAGAAACAAAAATCGGTTGCAAATCATGATATGCTATCAGATCAGTTAGCAAAGAAAATTTCCTTCATGTAGTTACAAACATGTGTTATTCGTTCAAAGAATCGTTCAGTGAATTTTGTAGAGCAAATATTACTGTTTTTATCAATCACGTAAAACAAGAATGACCGGTCAATCATAATCATTTCACTTATAAAACTTAACATATTGTCTAAAGTTTATGTAATCGATTTACTAAGTGTGAAAAAAATGTTTTTTTTTAGCGAAAAGGAAACAGCAAAAACTCTTTCTGACAGAAACTGGCAGGAAAATCGATTACAGCTTTAACTAGAATACCCATAACTCTTAAATGATTAATTCCAAACATTTGAATCTTGTGCAGTTTAATAAATCTTTCATTGGTGGTTTGAATACACACATGAGAATGGAAAATTTGCTGTAAACATCTCATGAGGTAGGTATATTTTCAAAGAAATCCATTGAAAGCTTTACAAAGCCATGTAATATACGATTCGATACCTCTCTGTCTTTCCTTTCGAACGATGAAAACCACAGCTGTTCATCTTGTTTCTATCAAAAGTTATTCAAAACAATATCCACTAAATAGGCATTAGTATTACCGTCACATATGATAGAAAAACAGATCTTGTGGAAGCTTCATTATTATGATATTAGTTGAAGAGTAATCAAATAACTTAGAAAAATAGAGCATAGTTTTCTCTATCACCACATAAAAATAAAACAAAATTTCTTTAAGATTTCTATATGAAAATAAGATAATGACGGCACTACTTTTGGATTTCTCTAAATATATATAAACATATATCAAAATAGAAAATGAAAATTATCCTTCGTCGAACTGTTGAAGCTCAAGTTTTTATTGATAATCCATTTGATCATCCAAATGATTCATTTCATGTTGATATATTCGCAGATGATAATAATTATCATGTGACAATAACTGATGAGTATTTAAATATAGAACCAAATATATTTTGTTTAAGAAATTTTGAATTCAACCAATGAAAATGTAATTATAAATGTTATATTATACGACGTGAAATACAATACAAACAAATATCCAATTTATCAATCTTCGAGAGAAAGAAAAAGAGTATCTAGTGAATATTCATCAATAAAATGTTATATTATGTACATCTAACATTAGATCTGTAAATTCTCTTTACACATGCTCAAAATGTATTTCAATTTACCATTACAACAGTTCAAAATGAATCGTTTCGAAATCTACTAACGATAATAAAAACAATAAGTGATTTATCATCATGAACAACCTCATTTATTCATCAATAGATTTATAGTTAGACAGCGTGGTTATTGATTTATCATTTTCAATTAATGAAGACAATCACAACCACTACAAATATTTAAACTATGGAAGTATGTTGATATCGAAAAAATAAAATCAAAATATTAAACTATAAATCAGTTGAACATATTCACACCGCAAATAGATTCACAAACTCAATATTCATGTGTGAGAACTCACATCTAATGTGAGACGGAAGAAATTTTAGTGATGATTTACCCTCATATCTATCTCTTGATGTGTTTCTATATTTTCTCTTTTTCTTCTTCATTATTGTTAGTGTTTTCTCTTTTCTTTTCTTTTTTCTTCTATCATCTCTTTTCTATTGTGTTCTGTGATATATCTATGTACGGTGATTTAATGATATTAAAAGTATAATAGAATAAATAAATTTAAAGCTCATCGAAATGAGCTAATAGATCTGTTTCCTAACAAGTAACCATATGTCACCGCGTACTTAGAGAAATGAACTTCATTGGAAACTCTATAGCTCGAGAAGAAAATCTCCACTCTCCTTAATATTTCAATGTTTTTTAAGCTATCCTGATCATATATAGGGTACAATTTCAGATTGTAATATCGTCATCCAATCAATGCTTGATATATGAGAATATTCCCTCATCATATATCGGATGATATAGTGTAAACGCATTATTTTGTATTGTTGAGTTGTCTTCGTATGCAGTCAAGAATTTTTCTAATGTTTTCATCAAGCGATGAGCCATGAAATTCTCTACAAAACGCTATGTTTTGCTTATCCAATGTAAACTATTTTTGTTTTATACAAGTCGAAACAAACTTTAAGCGATACGATGACAACCTTCTAAACTATGACAAATATTTTTTTTGTTCCACAATCAATATTAATTTTGCTTGAGCATGATTTTTTTTGAGCCTACAGTCTATTGAGAGGGAGTTGGTTTGAACCATGCATTGAAATCGTGTTCAAACAAACTTAATATTTACCGGATAATTAAAATCTTCCATAAAAAGAATTAGATTTGGCATAATTTTAGAAAGTTGTCATCATATCTGTTAACAATTGTTCGACTCTTATAAAGGAAGAACAGATATATTAGGTAATCAAAACATGGTTTTTTTTGTAGAGGATTGCACGGCGTATATTTTGGTGAAAAAGTAGGAAAATGCTTGACTCATATGATAAGAACTCGAGAAAACGACATGATCCATTTCGCTGAATCATTCGATATAATTGAAAGTGTTAATTAGAAATAGAATGATATTAGAACCTCACCGGAAAATCATATTTCTTTCTTTTAATATGATTTATCTTAACGAACCAACATCAACTCAGATATATGCCGACTACTGTCTACAGTAGGTTCTACAAAATTTACCGAGTATTGCTGTCAAAATTTGGTTTGCACGTGTTGAAGATATTCCAGCTTCGACTAAACAGCAGAAATGATCCAATTTCTACAGCTCACGCGTCACTGGTACTCTAATTGGAGGCTTATTACTACTAGCATTCGTTCTTATTCTCATGCTTAGGCGTAACAAATGACGAGCACAGTAACCAATACCATCGGTTTCTTTAGCTATCTATTCACATCGCCACTAGGTTTTATCGGTCATGCATGCAGTCTCATCACATTTCTATCAAAACCTCTTCGTCTCACTTCGATAGGATTACTATTTATTTTCTTCACAATTTCCGATATATTCTATCTATCGATATTTATCCGTGATTTTCTTGCGATAACTCTAGAAGTCCCAATATTGCGAAGCAATCAATTATGCCGTTTTCGTGCCTTTATGACTAATTTCTCGGCTGTCACATCCAGTTGGCTTCTTGTTTTAATTGCCATTGATCGACTGATTCGTGCACGTTTTCCATATCGACAAGCACAAGTATGTACAAAAACAGTGGCTGGCTGGTCAATTGCCGTTGTATGTGTGTGTTCAACTCTGTTTACATATCATGTTCTTCAACCGGAATATGGCTATAGTAATCCGACGAGTAATATTTGCGGAACACCTCGCTCTCCTATGACATCTTATTCAATATTTTTCTTTAATACTTGGCCTATTCTTCAATTATTAATTACTTATTTACTTCCAAGTTGTTTGATGACTATTTGTGTAATCGGAGTCTATTCTAAATTGCGTGTACAACGAACTCTAGTGATGACATTGACGATGAGAAGGGAGAAACTTCAACGGCATATGTTCATTTTGATGATTTCAAATGTGACCTGCTTTGTGATTTGTACATTACCTTATTCTATCTGTCGAATTCTTATTCAACGATTTGGACTTACATCGACTACGAATAATGTAATCTCGATATTGTCAATTTTTCTCAATATTAATTATAGTTACAACTTTTATATTCATTGTTTGACATCGCGATTATTTCGAAAAAACTTCATTGAACAGATGAAAAGGCTTTTTCTGTATTGTAAGACATTATGGAGACAACGTAGTAATATTCTATATCCTATTTCGACAATACCTAGACCCCATCCATGCTCGGGGCCTGATTAACTAAACAACAAATTCTTCTTTAAACTCGAACACTATTTCTGTCTGTAGTAATTGATCGAAGGCAATGTCTTATATAAGTTCATTCGCTCTTTGGTTGAAAATAAAATAAAGAATTATTGGAGCCTACGAATATCGCATATAGGTGCTTCAAAATTAATTAACCATCTATTCGAAAAAAAAAATTCTGATTTTTCAATTATATACTGTGTTCAATGTTTCTATGTCAAAATGATGATACAGGAGTCAGCTGTATATAGACAATTTGATCGTTATCTATATAGAGACCGCCAGGATTAAAGAGGTGGTTGAATCCATTACCTGGTGGATGGCCTTCAGTTATTGTAAGAGCATGGGTTTTCATGTGGCATTGGCATCAATATTAAGGAGAGGTCGAACTGCAGTGAAACATCGTTTCGAATTCGTTATGCTGGACTAAACGAAAACAAAATGAACGTTAATATGTGTTATTGGGAACAATCAGTGTCGAATTTGAAGTGAATCTCGAGAAGTCATCGATTTGAATTTGTAATGTTAGAAATTCGAAACACAATCGTGTCTAGTTTAAGAATCAAACTATTAGTGCGATGGAAAATCCATGAGTTCCTTAAATCAACGGTTCGAACAAAAATTTGACGACATTCTTTCAAAGAAAGGGCAAAGTGGATGAGTTTTTCTTGAAAGTCCTTGATATTTTCGTGAAAGAAAATTTCTCACAATTTTATGCTTATCATTTCTAGTAGCACGAAGAAGTGTAGATGCCTTCGACGGCTGAGTTTAAAGTCGATATTAACTTTTTTCTTGTCACTCGAGGAGACGAACCTTGACCTCTTTGAATTAAGTATTTTGAGAAAAGTTTTAACACACCGTTCCAAAGACTTGTTCCATAGGGCAGTAAATTTTATTTTGGCAATAATCTAAATTATTGGTTCTAGTGGCGACAGTTTGTGGCCAGAATAAATGAATTTTAGAGAGTAAAATATTTTCGCTGCGCAGCATCTTAAAAAGTCGCGTATAAAAGAATGTACGAAAAATCTTTTATTTTGATTAGAATTTTGCGCGTACCTTCAAAAAATTCAATTACCTTCAAAACGGAAAGTTGAGCACATCTTTCAAGATCCAATTAGTTTCAAACTCTCGCTTACATGCAACAATAAATGAATGTTTGGACTCATATGACGTAAACTAAATATCATTTCAAATATTTCAACAAAATAATATAGCAGTTTTTCAACAAGTTCAATTGTTTCTTCGGTGCCATACTCTGCTGATGCAAGATTGATTCCTATAACGAAGGATAACAATAGAATTTTATGTGTATTTTGAGTCATGTAGCGTATAATTGTGGTCACTCGAAAATGAAAGATACTACGATATTCGCTAGCTTTATACTTTCGACAGTGATTTGATCGAACCGAATCTACGTTACGTAGTCGATAGTATCTTCATATGAGATAATGATTCATCGATTAGAGCTGTTTTCTTGAACAAATACCACGATTCTTGTCGATATTGACAATCGAATTA